AACTGTCTAATAAACTAAATTTTCCATTTAACATCTTACTTGGTAACAATACGAATGAGTTAAGTACATTTCTAGTAAGCTATATATACGAAATAAATTGTCACAAAATAATTCCATTTAAACTAGGTAATCAAAGGCCTTGAATAATTAATTTCAATGGATTGATACATATGTTACAACTCGATTCACGCCCTTTAATTTTCATTATATGTATACATACAATAGTTTTATTTAGTATGTAGAATAAGTTAGCACTGTGCATTGATTGCAATTATGATTATGAAATGAAACATCTTCACAAAACCCTTGATTTACAAAGATTTTGATTATTTTGTTGTTGTTGCCAACATATACAGATTAGTGATTTAATACTCTCTAAGATAAATACTTCAATCATGAATAAAACAAAAGGTGTATTTTCCAAGATTCTATCAACATCAAACTCGTTTGAAAATGCTTTATTTGAATATTCTAAATTCTATAGTTTATATTTTATTCAGTCATAAAACATTGTACCATTTACTATATTAAAGAAATCACAGACAATATTCCAGTTATACGTACAAACATTTTATTCAATAAAAAAGATTGGTTCAGCGAAGAGTTCTCTTTTCAGCGAATTTATTTTCAAAGCGGTACAACCGCGAATATATATGTACTTATTTTTACAGGATGATAATAAACTTCTGTTAGACATGGTGACAGTGAGGTTAAATAAACAAAGGTATTTAAAAAAATTTTTTAAACAACAATCGTTTGATTGTTGATGGTTTAAGTATTCTTCAAAAGATAGATAGGGAAATTATCATTGGGAAAAGATGGCTCAGCATGATAAAATAATGTTGAAATTGAGATTGAATGTAATCAGAATGATCGTGGAAACATAAATAAACCATAAATAAGAACTTTCCTCTAAATTTGATCGAATAGATTCACAGTATTTTTGGCGCCGATTTAATGTGAGACATTAAAGAGGAAGAATGTATTTGTAAAATCTCAGCAAATGAATTTTGAAGTAAATTCAACGTTTTGCTTGGCAATCTGGTCCAAGCATTTTCAAGGAAAAATAATCAAACATCAAAATTATTAAATATAAGTAGGTACATGGTTCTCCGGTTTACTGTATACTGAATAAGTCATCCGATCAACATTAATAATGTTTAAAGTAGGTATTTACATTAGTGTGTAAGAGACATGTGGTGTGAAAAGGAAAAGTGTTAAGATAACAGATTGTGTGTATATGTAAGTGAGAAGAAATTTCATTCAACTATATATTGTCTTCGGTCGGTAAATGTTAAGAAAACATATAATTTTTTATATATGATATGAATCAAAAATATCACAGTGTGCATTAAATGAAAATAAATAAACAAGATAAAACAATGAATTCAAAGAGGAAGAATGTATTTGTAATTGGAAGTTTATGTTATTTTAATGTTCCAGTCAATTGTTTAACATATTCAGATAAGATAACTGATTTGAACCGTTGAAAGTAATATCTGTTAATTAGTTTAATACGATATAGATAGAATGAAATAAGGATTTCAGGTTTACTTATTAATTATTAGTTGCCATGGGACAGCTAGTTGTATTCCATCTCTCCTATTAATACTGTTTGGATTAGCCCATATTTGTTGGGCTTCGGCTGTTACTCTTTCTTTGTAAGAATTAAAGCCTTTTTGAAGGATTATTGTGCCATTGAAATCAATTGTATGACCCGATTCTATCGAGTGTAATGCTATCACCGATTTGTTCTCGAGTTTTCTTACCTCAACTGAAGATTTAGGAATGTGCTTTAAGCATAGTTTGTGTTCCTTCACCGTCACATTCAGTTACCTTGGTGTTTCACCCGTATATGTTGGATTACGGTCACTACATTTGATTTCATAAACACAATTCTGTTGTTCTTCCTTGTGTATTGGATCTTTGATTCTTACTAGTTTTGATCTTAGAGTATTGTTTGCTCGAAAGTATACTCTCATATTTTGAAGAGTTAGAATCCAGTCGGGGGTAGAAGTTTTAAGGGAAAGACGGAAGGTAAAGCAGGTGATTGTAAAGGAAGAAGAGCATGAAAAAGAGAAAAAAATTAGTACATTAAGACCATGGTAGAAGAAGAGGTTGTACTAGTCTCTTTAGCACACACAATTCTGGTTTTTACAGATGTATGGCTAATGCTTCGGCAGTGCAAAGAAGATGCAATCTAATTGTCTTTGGAAGACTTCTACTTACCTTGTAGATGACTTTGAACACAGAGTCTGTCTTGATTGCATGACCTGTGTTCACAAGGTGTTCGATTATTGAACTACTTATTGAGCGGTTGCCTCCTCTTCACAGCCACGCCGGACAATATTCTCAAACTTTTTTGGATAAAGTGCGCATCTAACGACCTATATACTTAGCTCCACATGAGCATCTTATTGTTTCTAATTAAATTCATTTTAATTACTAGTTTTACAAATCATTGTAAGTAATGCGTAATTGATTGTAAAGGTAAACATTACAGTGTTACAGAAATAAAAACGGACATTCAAAATATTGGATAACTTTAGAAGAAACACAATAACTATCAAATTTTTGAAGTACAGCTTACAAATAATAAAATTTGCAGTAATACAAGAAAAATTTGATGAATTATGTGTTAAATCATTTTTTTGTACCACATGGTACGTTCAAGTCATCCAAGAATGCTAGGTATTATGTTCAATAACAAACGTTCCTCAAGAGAATGATGAAAAATCGAAATCGCTCCTAGATTGTCGGCTGCCTGAGTTTTATAATCCTCCCGAATACATCACCGGTATCTACAACAGTTGGTAACTCAAGATTTGCTTGACTAGTTGACGGTACACGGTTATCCATAGCATAATATAGGGCAACAAATCAGGCATTATTTTCCTTCATATTTGTTGATGACGTAATGAACAACATTATGACAAAAGACACTTGAAAGTAAATATGCGAACAGTTAGAAAATCACAAGTGGAAGTAACCATGAGATCAGCTAAGAAAAAGCGTACGACGGTTTCCGATATCTACGAAAATTAATGGAATTAAAACGGATTGGGGGTCACCACATGGATAATGTCAGAATGCTAGAAAGTACGTAATGACCGGAAGTTACTAGCAAAATACCAAGGAAATACGTAATTTACTCAAAGTATTTAACCCTAACATATTAAATAACGAAATTCCAAGACACTGAATCACCAAAATCTGCAATGATACAAGAAAATCAGTGAAAAATCACACAGGACGAAACATGTCAAAAATGATAATCCCGCCTCATTCTGATTGGATGCTGGGGTGGGTTGTTGAAATTACAAAGAGAGTTGAGTTTATTTACAGTCGTTAATTATTTTTCTAACCATCACTTGGTCAGCGTGAAGAAGTAGAAAAACTACGAAAATAAGAATTGTGATGTACTTATAATATTCCAGTGTGTAGAAAATTGAATTTCTGACGTTCCACAATTTACTGTTAATCTCTTCCAGGAGTAAATAACCTTTTTCCAAATGTAAATACTAAAATAAATATGTCAATTCAAAATATTTAGTAAACAACGAACAATTTTGATCATGGTTATATCACATGGTTCTGGTCAAAATTGTGATATGTTTTGTGTAAGTTAATGTATATAAAAAGTGCGATGATAATGAAACAACGAGCAAATCAACTTTTACATTGGTGGTGAGAGATTCGAACAAACTTTTGTGATAGAAAAGTTAGCATAGACAGCTCGGAAATCCAGCCCTTCCTTTAAGTTGAATGTAGTTTGGATTTTTAAAAAAATATGAGAAACGCCTTGGCTACTCGTTTTCATAGTTGAAGTAAATATTTTGTATATTGGAACATTTTCAATATCAATCTGATAACTGCTGAAAGTTGTATATCCTCTTATGCAAATTAATTTGTGAATGTCCAGCTTCTATAGGGCTTTTAGGTAGAGTTTTTATGCTCCTTGTAACAAAGCAGAATTTCTTGGGAAGAATAGCCTATAAAGTATCCGTCACAATGGACACAACTTCATCTATATACACAATCCTGTGTCGAAGAAAATAAGGGTACTTTTCCTGTATTCGAGGTAAACCATTTCAAAGTATATAGGACGTGTTTATACGATGCTGTAATTATGAGCTCCTCCAAAGTCATGACTCTTCATTCATACATTGCAACCAGGTAAACCTATTGTACCAACCTATAATATTACACTCAAGATTCCGTTTATAAGCAAAACAAACCGTCTAATGGTATTCACTGAAATGTTATTCAGCTCAAAAGTGCAAACTATATTCGTATGGATTTTCTAATTTTTATTCTCTAGATCTAAGCGTTTAATAGCTCTTCTGAATAAATAAATAAATAAGAGAAAGTTCATGAGTAAACTAACGCACAAATTTGAAATCTATATACAGGTATAGGTGTATGAAATTACGTTAAACTTAAATCGAGAATTCAACTTATATCTTGTTAACTAGACTTTCTGAAAATTGTTGTTTAACACTCAAAAAATTGGTTTTGTGTCTATGATTTAAATCTTTATTCAACAAGTAATACCATACTTGGAAAAGTAAATATATAAAACATTTCATGGATTTTTTTAATTAAGCTCTAAAGTATACAATGTGGTTACAGAACTGAATTAGTTGTTCGAGTCGCTTATCTCAATGTAAGAAATAAACATAAGTACCTAATAATATTTAACCATTCAGTTAACTTTGAAAAAAGTATTAAAGTAAGTTATGTTCGATGGTCTTCGATATTATTCATTTAGATCTATATGTTCCAAACTACACCAACCCAATTTTATTAAACTGTCATTTAGTGTAAAAATCACTATTTTTGAGGAAAATACTCTTATCAAATCAATATTTAAATGACGAAAGAGTAGAGTAAATTTACTGTCATAAAACTCACATATCCAATGTCACTCTATAAATCAGTTGGTCAATAATTTCGTTCCTGTAAACAATTTTGTTTTAGTTATCTTAAAATGTTTTCCACTATATGATAACGCATTTAGTAAATGATGATGATGATGATGATGATGATGATGATGATGATGATGATGATGATGATGATGATGATGATGATGATGATGATGATGATGATGATGATGATGATGATGATGATGATGATGATGATGATGATGATGATGATGATGATGATGATGATGATGATGATGATGATGATGATGATGATGATGATGATGATGATGATGATGATGATGATGATGATGATGATGATGATGATGATGATGATGATGATGATGATGATGATGATGATGATGATGATGATGATGATGATGATGATGATGATGATGATGATGATGATGATGATGATGATGATGATGATGATGATGATGATGATGATGATGATGATGATGATGATGATGATGATGATGATGATGATGATGATGATGATGATGATGATGATGATGATGATGATGATGATGATGATGATGATGATGATGATGATGATGATGATGATGATGATGATGATGATGATGATGATGATGATGATGATGATGATGATGATGATGATGATGATGATGATGATGATGAAACAATTTGAAGCCTACAGAAAATACTTCAAATTAAAAATAGTTTGTAAGCAGCTTTTTTAATGGCTGATAACTAACTTTATATATTTTAAATTCCGATTGACTTAGTAATATAAAGAAACACACCTTAAATAGGAATCCCGAAGTGTTCTGAACAAAAAACGATTAACAAAACGGAAGTATTTTAATGAAAATGAACTTATAAAATTTACTTCTATAAAATGTTTTGTGTTTTCTTGAGGTATTCCATATATAACATTTCATAAATTTAAAGAGTTTGGAAACTCTCATTACCGATATACTGAAAAGTATAAATAAACATTGGCTACAACTGCGTTTCTCCATTAAAATGAAGAGCAAAGTCACTTGCATCTTCATGATACGTCCCGCTTATCAGCGTTGGATTTTCACAGGCTCCTTACAATGCACTGAAGCATGTCGGACTACTCCGGGTAACCTCAGGTTTTACCATAGACAAAGATTATTACGTAGCGAAATTGTGCAAAGCCTAGGTAAAGACCGTATATCGTAGCTAGCTGAAAACAACACCTGCATCTGATAATCGCCAGAAGCTATTTCAGCTCATCCGAGCCACCGGCAGCAAGAAGTCTGGTGTGGGTGAAACAGTGTGTGAAGCAAATGGAATACAAATCAATAACATCTACCGACGTCTTGGATGATGATCAGAGTTTTTCGAGGCGCGCCCCAACTGCTCTGCTTCCCAGGTGACATGAATCAGATACACCACTAGCCCCTTTTAATGATGGGGAATTTCTGGTTATTGAACTGAGTTCTTTGCAAATGTCTGGGAATCAGAACGTGTCCTGACATCTTGGGATCAGTCGATAGTTGTTCTTATCTTTGAAAATGGTTTACGTCACCTAAGCAATAACTATCGGAGGATAAAAATTTATTTTCAATTGCGTCCAAACTATTGGCTTCTGTCATACTTCTTAGATTGTTAAAAACCCGTGAAAGAATAACTCGCGGGAGGCAGGCTGGTTTTCGTTCTGGTCGAGGATGTTTTGATTATATCTTCACTCTACGCCAAATGTTAGAACACTCTCAAGCTTATTACGGGTCGATAATCGTTGTGTTTCTTGACATTCGGACATCCGTTGATTAGCTGGACAGAACTGTTCTCTGGGATTACCCATTGAAGAATGGTTTGTTTGAGAATTTCATTAACATGTCTTATATACAAGCATCCCAAGCAGAGTGAGAGTAAAAAACCACCATTCTCCATTGTTCTATTCAAGCAGTGGAGTTAGACAGGGTTTCCTAATCTCACTATTTCCCTTTAACTTTATCACCGATGACGTTCTGGAAACAGTTCTGACGGATGGAGATAATGACAGTGTGGATCCGTTACCTGGAGAACGAATTCTCGACCTTGAGTATGCGGATGTTATTGTCTTACTGTGCAATAATACCCAAGTCATGCGATCCGCACCTAACCAATCGGCAATTAGTATACGTAAGTATGGTATGTTCTGTTCACCTTTGAAGTGTAAAGTGCTTCTACAAGACTGGCAGGACCTTGATCCTGCACTCACTCTGGGTAGTGATCTGATAGAAGTAGTCGAGAAGTTCATGTATTTGGGTAGCTGCACATGAGCTGGTGGTGGTATAAGTACATTGAAAGTTAGAGTGACTTATGTCAATCTGGACCATCTTTGGCGCCTTCGTAATGTTAATCTAACCGTAAAAAGTCAGATCTACAACGCATCGATGAGAGGACTTTTGCTTTATGCTTGTGAAACCGGCCATCTCCGAGTTGAGTATGTTAGACGACTCTCTGCGTTTGATCATCGTTATCTCCGAAAGATTGTTGACATACAGTACAACATTTCATTAAAACAGATGTTCGGCAACGTGTGTTCGGGCACAGTGAGGATAATGCAATTGGTGTCACTATCTTGAAACATCGGCTTCGGTGGCTTGGACTGGTTCTACGAATATCGTCCCGGTGAATTCCACATCGTGCATCATTTACTGACGCTGACACCAGTTGGAAAAAGCGGAAATGTGGTTTGTGCACAACATGGTGTCCTGGTATGAAAGAAATCTGTACAGGACTTGCTTCTGTAGATGCCTCAAGACTTTGTGGTAGAGGCACCAGAAATAGTGGAACACAGTGTCTAGAGACGTTATCAGACATGGCTCAGAATATAAGCCAGTGGTGATCCCGTTGTGTCTTTCTTTTACTTTCTTCATAGAAGTGAACGTAACTTCTTTAACTGAGGGAATTCCTTCTGGTTGTATTTTCCCTTAACTAAGCTGCTTCCTTAAGTATTATTATTATTTCACTCCCATAAACCAATCTCCACTGACTGTTGCTCCTTTTTTGACTATACTCACCTATTCGCTATCCCTTAAAAACCCCGTTGTTATTGTGTGGCTCGTATGTATTTGGTGCCCCTTGTACTAATGTTTACGTGTTCAAATAAATAAACAAACTGATGTGTTATATTACTAGGATGATATGGAGTTTTCAAGCATCCCTTTTAGCCACTGAAAATAAAATATGATTGACATAGAAAGTGTATTAAGATATCACACTTATTTAGTTCCTTTGAATCAATAAACTGCTGTCTCTTATTGTTAGAAAGATATATACTACTATTTTCTTCTCTCCTGACCTTAAGCAAAACAACTAATCGTCCATAATCATCTCTATTAGTCTCATCAAATCAAACATGCATATACATTAATTATGCTTTCGGTCAGATTAATTAATTAAAAGCAAATATCTACATATACTAATCAAGATGAAATAAATCGTTCTACCTTTCTCTAGGTTATGACCTCCAGGAATCTAATCCATTTTTCATACATTAATTCTATACCAATGACAGTACATCAGTTTGTTAGAAGAAAAATATATAACAAATTGGGAATTATTGGTTTCCAAACAAATAACTGCGTGAATCATGATTTTAAGTATGTTATAAGGAAACATCCTTTTAAGAATGCAAGTTTATTATAAGTCTATGAAAAGACTTAGCTATTAGAATGACTGATGGAAATGAAAGTGTCATTTTAAATGCTGTTTCCTATCAAAAAATTTAATGTCACAGTGAATAAATACACTTTAGGAACGGCGAGACTATAATTTATGGACGAACCAATCAGATTTAGAATGACAGGTCTCGGATTTTGACGCGAAATTCACTCACCCAATCGTCTAAGTAGCGTCCTGGCATTTTAGCTAATGTCAGTTCGTGATGAAAACTATAAATCTAATTCCTAACCATCAACTGTAAATCACAATCCTTACTCTTTATACTGCTTTATAACCACCATTTAGCCTTAGTAAGTATGCAGACATTCTCAAAGTCACTTTAGCGTCGCTCAAAGGTCGTCCATAAATTAATAGTCTCACCTTAGGAACTTAGGAAATTCTTCTTAAGTAACGTTTTTGAATCATATATTTGTACAATATTTAACTGATTTATAATAATGTAGGAGTATCCTCTATAATTAAGTAATAATACATCTCTGAAAAAAAATGTAATAAATTATTATGCTTAAACTCATTTTATTTAATCACAAAAGAACGACAATATTAATATCAAAGTAGTCACTCATTTGAATCGGTTTGACAACTAAATTACCTTCATCCCCTTAAGCTAGATGTACTACCACAAACTCAATCAATATGATCACATCTAATTTTTCTACATATACTCAAGAATATTTTCTGAGTTAAGAATTGTGATGATATATAATGGTTAAATATTTTGTATATGAAGCTGATTGATAAATAATAATCGATAGTTTACACAATGAATGAATCTTTGTTGATGGGACAAAAATTAATCGACTAATTTAATAATAAATTGGATGAAAATTGCAATTTCATTGGCAAATCATTTTTTATAATGACAAAAATAAGATTAGAAGACAATAATGGGACTTTTAAAATACCAGTACATCAGTGAATGATATTTTGTATATAAAAATCTCTGCTTCAATAGTCGTGGTCTTCAGTATTGTTACATATTGCAAATTTTTTTTCAAACTCGAATTTTAACCTTTAGATTTTACCAATCCAATAACGTCTCGATGGTATCGTGTCTTTAAGGAACTAGCATCAGATACGCAATTAAATTTTATATACATTTTATACAGTGGTATATTTTAGCAGAGATACAGCATTCATATAAACTTCACTAATTTTCTAAACAATTATTTAATAATCTAAACGACTGTGAAAACAGATGGCTTTGCTTGGTTTTGATTCACAGAGATAAATTAATAATTAGTATACAGTTCAATTTTTTATAATTTATTTTAATTAAGTATATGTAACAATATGAAGTATTAAAACTTCTCCTGTAGCTCTTTTAGAGTTACTGCCGGTCTCAAAACCCACATAACGGAGGAGGGTTGGGAGTGAAATCGACAACCCGATCTCGTAGAAAACAATCTTGTTAAAAAATGCTGACCAGAATAAACAATTTACACCATTTAAACTCTGCCCTCCAAATTGAAGGAGGAGTTATGACGCCTCATGATGAAAGCCGAGATTCTTCGGAAGTCACTAGGTCAATGCCCATTCTGACAACATGGACAATGTGGGAGACCAGGAGAACCAGTCAAGTAGCAACGGAAATGAGGAGATAAAACTTGACAAATCTAGGAATCAGTGGAACCCATTAGACCCAAGCTGGACAACAAACATTAGGTACGGGAGAGCTGCTGCTATATTACGGTCACGAAGAGAGAAATGTTCCACACACTCGGAGAGTTGCTATGATGCTCTCTCAAGAAGCACGAAATGCAGTTATAGGATGGGAATTTCACGCATCCAGTATCATCAAAACATTCAAAACAAAGAAGGAGTAAATTACAATGAATGTTATTTAATGCTATGCACCCACTAATGATAGCAGTGATGACGAAAAAGATCATTTTAACAAGAGGCTGCAATCGATCATAGTTAGGTGCCTAAGAAAGGACCTCACCATTCTGATGGGAGATCTAAACGACAAATTCGGAATGGACAACA